AGGCCTATATATATATAGAGAGAGATGAGATCAAAGACTTATATAAACTTACTATACTTATAGAACCGGATGAAATTCTTTAAATTAAATAAACATTTCAACTCATCCATATAAAAAATGCTTATTTCAATTGATTCAGTAAAAACATTTTACTAAACGGAACTTTGTCGCTAAATATTATTTTACTTTCACACTGAACACTCTTTTGAATTACTGTAATCTACAGTGACAGCATCATTTTGTTAAGGTATTGCAGACTGCGCATGTTTTTAACTGGCTTACAAGACTATATAATGACGAGGAGGACACATCATAACCATTATGCTGCGCAGACTAAACACAGATCACTGAATATTGTTTATTTGTTTATTTGCTTAGTCACTGGAGTTCTTTGGATGTAAGCTAATGAGATGTTTTCAATAAAGGTAGTTATACTTCATAATATTAATTTCAATTAGTAGAAGATAAGTCGAGCGTCTCCCTTTACGTCTTGACTATATCAGTATTTTATTTAAGCGTTAGAATAAATGAGTAAGATATTAGTGAACATTACTCCTATAAGTGTGTTCACCCACATATACATTTTAAAAGGTATATAATTTTATCTGTTGATCTGTTAAAACATAAACATTTTGCTTATTGGCGTACATTAGGCAAATTAAATCTTTAAAAGAATATTCCCTTGCCTTTATTGCTATAGGCCTACTCGAAATTAAAATTGCATCAATCGAATATTAATAGGCTTATTTTATATTCGCCAAATGCCTGTATATATATTTATAAGCAGTGGTAATCTATGCAAATTAGAACAAATACTTCCGGTAGGTAAATGATAGAAACAGTGCTCTGTTTCTATCAAGAAGTAATATTTTTGTCTTACCTGACTGATGCGTTATAAAATTAAATGCTCAGCACGTTCCCAAATACTTGCAAAAATTAAATCGCAAATGATTCAGGAGGGAATTGAACCTGCAACCTCCAGTAACCTGGTGTCATAACCACTAGACCACCGAGCTAGCGCTTAGTGATTAGTTTTTTGAATTCGATCTAAAAGTAGGCAGCACGTACTGCAATGTAGGGCAAAAATACCACTTCTATGATATTTTCCTGACGCAAACACATCGAAATAGCATTGCCGTATACACGCTGCTGATTCCCACTCAAATTATTTAAATAGGCCTATGTTTATGCAAATTAAAACAAAGTACCCCCCCCCCCTTTTTTTTTTTACTCACAAATGTCCCATATGTGGACTCATGACAACACTTCTTTTGGTTCGGTCAATTCTCGACACAAAATTGTTCAACGGCCTAAAAATAAGTAATTAAGTAAGGGCTGCTAAAATTCACAGAGAATTCCAATCAGTATAACATACCGGTAAATTCTAATAGGTTAATTCTACTGCGAAATGTAGGGGCTTGTTATGATTTTGTTGCATTTTGTACCTGTCGTCAATAAGTCGTTTATGACAATTGCATTGTTTGCAACAACATTTCATTAAAAAACATTGTGTCCTCTTATTAGAATATTAAATAATTCAATGACATACACGAGGTATGGAAGTGTTAAAAGCACTCATACGGCAGCTTTGTATCAAAGCAGTAAAATATGCTTGGTTATCACTATATTTTTATTGCAATGAAATGTTACTATTAATATGTTTTCAATGTGGATCACGACATAACCAAACAAATAATGTGCAAATTATTATTTCAATAGGCGTTGTGGCTCCTGCTTTTAGCCACCGTTGGACGTTCTGCAGGTAAGAGTATACTGTACTACGTTGAATTTAACAAGGCTTACTATCGTCTGTGTGGTGAGAGTAGTGTGCTCCTCCTCTGCGGTTCATTTTCTTGACCCTGAATTTTATTTTATCGAATATTCAATATTCAAAATAGCAAACTCTGTATGTTAACAATGGACCTTTCTGAAACATACATTTCATTACATGATCAATTTTTAGTAACGCATCAGTGAAATAAGTAGGGCCTTCACGGAAATACTGTACTCTCTAATGACTCAAGTTACTGCATGACTGTTTTTATAATTTTAATACAACCAATTTCTTCTAATTTTAAATACATTTTCCCATGAATTAGTGATAATTCGTTATCACGCATAGACTTGTGTTAAATGCGTGACAAATTTAGGATCAGGTAAGTGTTTCTGCAAAATGCGTGTTTCATCCAAAATCACTTTAAATGCGGGACTGTAACTGTGGTCTATTATTGCATCAACTTTGGCGTTTGTAAGTCGCATTTCTTTTTATAGTTTTGCAGTGAAAAGGATTTAGTTATATGACAAATATATTATATTTGTATTTAATTAATTTTTAAAATGCAGTTAATTCTTATTTGGCTGTGATGACCACAATTAAAAGCAGTCCAACATCGATCCAGCAGCTTCAGCAGTGTGTAGTGCAATTTCTCAAGAAAATTTCTAGAGCTCAGCATGCTGACTTGCAGGGGTGGATCCGGCGTGGGGCCACGGGGGTCCGTTCCCCCATCAGTCCCGCCGAAAAATTAAAAAAAAAATGGGTAAAAATTGAATTAAAAAAAGGAAAAAGGAAAAACAGGAAGTATAGGCCTAATCATAATAAGTTCAGTGGCTGAAAAGAGAGCTCGATTATGTTACTACTGACTAATTTTTAATTTTCTATTGATTGACGAAAAACACAATGTTATATCCCCGACGACGATTTTTCCAACAATTTCATAAATCAAGGATGTCAAAAAGGCTAAAAGACGGACCTAAGACGAGGTTTTTTAGCCATTATTACGGAATATAGTACCCAGCTAGAACAGCTATCCATGCTCAGTGGCGTAACGCCTGTGCGCTCTCGTGCATCAGTCCGCATGGCCACCGACCCTTAGGGGCCCCTTCGGTTCTTCTACCCATAGGGTCCTCGCTTTAGCACCCTGATCCAAAAGGGCTTTGTTGATACATAAAAGCATAATGTTGGGGGGGGGGGGGGGTGGAGATGGGTGCCCAATGCCGTAGCCAGCTATTGGGATAGTTTATGGCAGTCCACACAATTTTTCTAATGGATCCACAAAGAATGGGATTCAAATTTTCAAAATTGGGTCCAATTTATGCAGTTTCATGAATAAAATGGGTCCACTTTTTGAAAAATGGGTCCCGATTTCTCATACTTAGCCCAGCCGTCCAGGACCTCTCTATTTTTGTCATTTTTAAAAAATGGAGATAAAATATTCCAATTCTTTGAATGAGTGCCATTTCCGGACATCTAGAGGTGCCATAATCATAATTTGCTTTGCGACTCCCAGTATAGTATAGACTATAGGTTCTTTATTAGACCTATGCGACGCCCGTGAAGGGGAGGGGTGTCTAAGGGAGTGAAAGCATAGCTACCGTTGGGAAGAAGTCAATAATTTTGTAGAGGAACACTGCTTTGAAAAAGCATTTTTACCATATTAGAGTGCCATTTCCGAGTGTCTAGGGGGACTTATTCTTAAAATTTCTTTACCTCAGCCCCACCATGGTTGGGGTGAGGTGGTGTGGACTACCTATTGCCCTCTCCCGTCAGAAAATGTCTGGATCCGCCCAACATATCAATATGCTATCCTAGCTGCTGGAAAACCACCACAATTGTGCCAATACCCAAAGTACAGAATTCGATCGACTCTTTTGCGAGAGTTTTTGAATCTTTTATATGTGATTGGATAACGGAAGATATTAAATGTAATATTGACAACCAAAAATTTGGCAATATGCGTGGTTCTTCGACAACCCATTATCTTATTGAAACGTTAGATTTTGCTTTTAGAAGTTTAGATAAAACTGGCACTTATGTCAATCTAGTTACAATTGATTATCTAAGGCATTCAGTTGATATATATTGTAGTCAAGCGATCACTTATTCCCTCTCGTCTGCAGCTTCCTTAAAGATAGAACTCACAATACTAATTACATAATACACTGTTATACAGTGTTACTTGTGGGGGGGTCCCTCAGGGTACAAAATTGGGTCTGATCCTCTTAGTTTTAATTAAGGATGCCTGTCTAGGAAGCTGTTGACGATGGAAATATGTCGATGATCTAACTATTGATTAATGTGTTCAACGTGGGAATATTTCCACTTTGCAGACCACTTTAGATGATCTCACTTATTGGAGATACCATAATTACATGATTCCTAAACCAAGTAAATGTCACCACATGTGAAACCAGAGCCTTGCAGGCGTCAACGTTCCTATGCATGATACACAACTTTTAGAAGTATATACGTGTAATATATATATATATATATATATATATATATATATATGTATGTATATACATATATGTATATATATATATACACATATACGTA